TTTACCCTTTCAATTGTCATACTTAAAAAGTTGCTTTTTGTTTTTTACTACCTATATTAGCTCCCCCTGCACCCGGTAGCCTTCTCTCCCCCCAACCTGGGCCTAACACCCTGAGATGGAGAAACTTTTTTTGTTCTCCCTCATGGCCCTCTTTCACTGTTTTTGTTTTACCCCTGATAGGGGTATATATCCAAGTTTTTTGTTCCCCTTTTTTATTCTTTTATATTTTTTGTCCATTCATCATTTAAAGTTCAGTAGAAATGTTTTTAGACCACGAAACACTGCAATGCTTTATACAAAAATGCATAATACATGGCATCTGCAAATTGTAAATATCTGTTTACTCATTATTCCTGTACACACAAGTACACAGCTTGAGTTTGCTTTAATAGCTTTGTTGGACTTGCATGTTTCTCTCTTGGAAGGTGGTGGCTGGGACTCTCACAAGATTGAATGTTCCTTTACCCTTTATCAGTTATTACTGTTCTATAAACCATGGTCTTAAAATATATGTCATTTAACGTGAGAGGCCTGAACACCGCCCACAAGAGACGATTATTATTCAAAGAAGCAAAATCCAACGAATCAGATGTGCTTTGTGTACAGGAAACACATTTTAAAGATGATAAAGACCATAAAATCATGTCAAAGCTTTTCCCAGTTCAATACCATTGCACTTATAAATCCAAGTCTAGAGGTACATCGATTTTCTTTCACAGGAATGTAGCATGTTTGACAAACAAAGTAATAACGGATGATGACGGGAGGTATTTAATATGGATAGGATCACTCAATACTATTGAATATACTATTGTGAATATGTATTTTCCAAACACCGGTCAGTTGCAGTTTTTTAGGAAATTGATGAGAATGTGAGAGGCAGCTTGGTAATGTGTGGCGACACGAATTTTGTTATGGATGGAGAATTAGATAACGCTAGGGAAGAACATGATCAGCAGCATTGAGGAGACAGTGACAGATTAGCATATAAATGCTCCAGATATATGATTGAATGTGGCTTATAAGAACCTTGGAGACTGATGCATGAGAATGAAAGATATTTTACGTATTATTCTTTCTCTAAAAATATGTATTCCAGGCTGGACCGGTTTATGGTCCAGGGTGCTTTAATCCCGCACATCTTGAAATCTGATATCTTAAACATCAACTGGTCCGACCATGCTCCAATCATAATGCATATTGACGAAATTGTTTCATCAGCCCCTAACAGAACTTGGAAACTAGGTGATTATTTGTTAAATGATGTTGTGAACAAGTCACTGACGGAGAAAGCTTTGTGTGATTATTTTTCAGAGAATGCCTCGCCCGAGGTTCCTGATGAGGTGACTTGGAATGCGCATAAGGCTGTGTTAAGAGGTCATTTTATTTCTAGAGCATCTTACCTGAAGAGAATTAATAGCAATAATTTAAGAACATTGGAAAAAGAACTGTACAATTTGAATCAGGCTAATAAATTTGGTCCATCGTCCTCCCTATCAGCAATGATAGGAGAAATTAAGGCTAAAATCAACAAAATTAATTTAGATCGTACATCTCTCATGGTGAGACGTCTCAGGAAAACATTTTACTTAAAAGGTAACAGGGCCTCAACTCTTTTGGCATCCAAACTCCAGCATGTGAATGCCCAATCAAAAATAGCATATTTACTTGATGATCAGGGGCAAAAAGTGTTTCATCCAACTAAAATTAGTGATATGTTCGCAGAGTATTATAGTAAACTTTATAATTTAGAATGTAATTTGGACCTCCCCCAGCCTTCTACAACAATCATTGATAAATTCTTAGACAGAGTGTCATTGCCTCGGCTTTCTCCAGTACATTTAGAAAGCTTAGAATGTGAAATATCAGCAGCAGAGATAGCTGAGGCAATTAAACTTATGCCATCTGGAAAAGCCCCTGGTCCCGACGGATTAACTATTTTATATTATAAAACTTTCCCAGAAATTTTAATTCCCCATATGACTAAATTGTTCAATTCCTATAAGTCCGAGGGAAAGATGCCAGAGGAGTCCTTGTGCGCACGAATAGTCACTTTGCCAAAGCCAGGGAAAACTCCCGATAGATGCCCTAACTTTAGGCCCATTTCTCTGATTAATAATGACTCAAAGATTTATTCTAAAGTTCTCGCTAATAGATTAACCAAACTAATCCCATTGTTAATTAATAAAGATCAAGTAGGTTTTGTGCAGAATAGACAGGCGCCAGATGGAACTAGAAGATTCATAAACTTGATTCAGCACATCAATATGACCAAAACGCCTTCTTTGCTTCTATCTCTTGACGCTGAAAAAGCGTTTGACAGGATACATTGGGGATATTTAACATTAGATAGGTTCAACATACCATCATCATTTATCACAGCAATTAAGGCGTTATATTGCGCACCCTCCGCCCATGTCTCAGCTTCTGGCTTCACATCCAAAACTTTTTCCCTAACTAACGGGACGAGACAGGGGTGCCCTTTATCTCCAATTTTGTTTGTTTTAGCGATAGAACCCCTGGCAGAACTGATTAGGACAACCCCACAAATTGTAGGAATTGCGGTTAAAGAAAGCCGTTCACAAAATTGGTTTGAATTTGCAGATGATATAATCCTAGCTATCAAAAACCCAAAAGAATCTTTGAGACACCTCAGGGATATTTTAACTCAATTCGGTGAGATATCGTATTACAAATTAAATGAGTCCAAAACTCAAGCCCTTCCGTTTCATTTAAACAATTTGGAAACCATTGCCCTTAAGAAATCATATTTATTTGATTGGAGAACTGAATATATGGAATATCTTGGCATTAATTTATGCAAAAATTTGGTCAATATGCACAATCACAACCTGAGGAAAGCATTGTCAGACCTACAAAAAGAGATGGAGAGATGGGGTGGGATGGAGCTCTCATGGCTGGGGAGGGTCGCATCTATTAAAATGACGATACTCCCCAAAATTTTATATTTTTTTAGGACCATTCCTCTGTCCATTCCATTATCATTTTTTAATAAAGTTCATTCGACAATGTTGAAATTTATATGGGGGAACAAGCCTGCCCGAGTGAGGCTCACTTCCCTGCAGCACCATAAATTGAACGGCGGTATCGGTGTCCCCGATATCCGCAAATATTATTTCGCCACTAATGCTGCAGTGGTTGTGAGCTTTAACAACCAGGATGATAAACCCAGATGGATGGAGATAGAGGAATCAAAAATTTCACCGGTTAGACTATCAGAATTACCTTGGTTAAATCCTAAGAAAAGACCTGGAATTACAAAATTATTTTTATCCACTAGGACTACGCTTAAGGCCTGGGACATTGTTTTTAAAAATGACCAGTCTCCCAGTTTATATAGAGCAATGCCTATTGAATTATTGAAAGATCATATACCATCCTTA